CGTACATATAAAGAACGCCGAAATCCGAGTTATAACGAAGAAGTTATGGCCCGTCGAAGTTTTTCGGCAAAACCGGCACGGCACCGGGAAACGTAAATAGTGAATTTACGACAGAGAGAATTTTAGCTTTAGTGATCTAAACGAAAGTCGTAGAATATGTTAAACCGAGAACATCCATAAAAAGAACGCCCAAATTTGACTTCGTATGAGGAAGTTATGAATTTTCTAAGATTTGGCATAGCAGTGCATGGCCCGAAACTCGAATTTTAGTTCGAGCGGTTTTTGGCCTGCGCGGCCTAAATGAGAGTTGAATATCTCATTAATAGGAACTCAACGGTAAAAAGACAGACGAAAACGGAGTCCGTATGTAGAAGTTATGAATTTTACGCGGACATTTAACAGTATAATCTCCTCCTACTGTTAAATTTAAGATCGGTCGAGAATTAACCAACGGAGTAAAAATGAAAGTTGTAGATTTTATTTTTACCAACGCGTGGATATAAATAACATCAAAAACGGAGCTCGTATGCGAAAGTTATGGACGAAGCTTAGTCTCTACTTTTCGAGCGCGGCGAATTCGATACAGTTTTGTAAATCCGAGATAGAATGAGAATTAGCCCAACGGGGTCTAAATGAAATTTGTAGTACTCGTAAATACCAACGCGTGGATATAAATAACGTCAAAAACGGAGCTCGTATGCGAAAGTTATGGACGAAGCTTAATCTCTACTTTTCGAGCGCGGCGAATTCGATACAGTTTTTGTAAATCTGAGATAGAAGGAGAATTAGCCGACGGGGTCTAAATGAAAGTTGTAGTACTCGTAAATACCAATGCGTGGATATAAAGAACGTAGAAAACGGAGCTCGTACGCGAAAGATACGGACGAAGCTTAGAGGCTACTTTACTATAAAATTCCTATAAATAAGAGATGAACTCTTCATAATTTCTTCACACCATAAGCCTTTCTTTCTCTCTCTAACTTCTCTCTAACCTCCCTAAACCCCTCCCAAGTCTAGGGAACCTCCCTAGCACGAGAAGAAAGCCCCGGAGCGCCCGACGGCTCCGAGAAGAAAAGCTTTCGGCTCGGAAACGCTGCTCCAGCGAAGCCCGGTTTTTAATAAAAACCCGCTGTAAGTGAGCTACGCCTATACTATATTTAATATAGCTTTTATTTAAATATAGTAATGTTATTAGGACCTTATAATAATTATTTGGGCTATTATTATGAGTTATATAAGTATCGTTATAATATCTTTTTAACCACTCGCGGTACGGGGAATCTGGTTTGGAGGGCCGCTTGGGTTGCTGGATTCAGAAGTGCTATATGACAAAATGATCCTGCCCTCCGGTGTTCCATGTCTGGCCCCTGTCTGTACATAGTGGGTGGAAAGTATTGTGTTAACGCTTATATAATAGTAATAATATTTAGACTATTAATTAGTCTCGACGAATATTAGACTAAAATCTAGTGGTAATGATACTAGGTTCTGTCAAAGGAGTTGTTTAAAATAAACGAAGTGTTGTCCGAGTACCGAGTCACCACCTTATCAGGTGAGTGCATAGTCCCTTCCATGAACATGATTTTAATACAAGTATTGATTGATGTATTAAATATATGTTTATGTGCGAATTATTTGATGTTGCCTGAAATACGTGCTAAAGAATATACCTGATTATATATGATGATTTAGGACAAAGAGTAAACCTAAATTAATTATGAGGAATATTGGGTAGAATCTTCTTACGAGTACGAGTGAGTTATACTCAGAGAATAGAACTTTAGTATATGTCATTGATCCGGGAGTATTGATTAGACATAGTCATTGTCCCTAGTCCGAGAGTATGGATTGGACACGGTCAAATGTCATTAATCCGGGAGTATGGATTAAGACATAGTCAGTTGTCCTTAGTCCGGGAGTATGGACAGGACATAGTTGTTCGTCATTAATCCGGGAGTATGGATTTACACATAGACACATGTCCCTAACCCGAGAGTACGGAATGGGCACACTTATTGATCCGAGAGCATGGATTAGATCCGAGAGTATGGACTAAGTAAGAGGTAAAATTTAAGGTCCGAGAGTATGGATAGTCTCGTTGTGAGGATTAACGGGGTGGGGTAAGAGTTGCTTATATATATATATGGTGAAATCGTATATTTTGTAAGTTCTAAATTATATGATATAACATTGTGGGATTGAAATCCCTATGTACTCACCAGGTTTCCCAACCTGACCCACTCAAGCTTATTTGTATCACAGGTGTCGATACGAAGCTACTTTACACTGAGAGATTTAAAAGAGATGTAGATCACTAATGTAAATAAATGTAAGTTCTGTTTATGCTTATGTTTCTGTATTGACAATGACATCCCAAATGTTTTAAAATGAATAAAAATACATTTCTTCGGAAATGCTTTGATAACATATTTATCATGTTTTTTTCTGGGAACAAATTCCGCAACATTTTTATTAAAAGAAGTACTCTGATTTTTATAAAGCATAAACAAAAATCAGTCTTTTCTGGCCGTGAAAATGGGGATGTCACAGTTGGTATCAGAGCATTAGTTTAAGCGAACTAGGAATAATGATTTATTTCTAGACTTAAACTTAGAATACTAAGCGATGATCGTGAGGAGTGTGTCTTATATATTTTAGGAAGTGCACCTGAATAGACACGAGCACTAGCTCATTTAGGGAAGATGCCAAAATTGCTTTTATGTGCTTAATAATTTGTGATGCTTTATGCTATCGTTTGATCGGATCTATGGTCTGTTGCCGACCGGATCTAGAAATTTTATGTGTTCAGATTTCTAAACGTTTAATTACGATATTAGAACTGGCATATAATTTGTCGAGGTAATAAGGAGGAATACGCGTCTAAACCTTCCTCTATCTTTATTCTCGTCTCAATACACCAAACGATTGCTTTGGTGTACACAACATCATGGTGAAGACTTGTATTGAATTGAGTAAATGGAGGAAATGAGAAGGCTTACGATATTGAATGGTACTTATCGGAAGATACCATAAGAGTGATATCTTGCCTTTAGAATGCATCTAATAAATAATACGTCTAGTACGGGAGAAGTAAACTTTCGATTTGCAGAAAGAAAGATTTTTGGTATAATCCATGAAGTTATCCCATCGTTTGACATTTCCATCACCAACCGAGTTGAAGCAGAATTGATGATTGAAGATACCCATGGAAGAAGTCCTAGTAGAGTCTAGGGAAAATTTTATCATTGTTTGGACACATTTGTATGTGTTAAAATTGTTTTTGTGATATTGACTTGGAGAACTACGCGACAATACTTGGGACGAGTATGAGTAGGCGTGAAAGGTAGTAGAGGCCTATACTACCGGAAGTACAGGACTCACGCTTGGATCAGGGAAAGTCACAAGGTTACCAAGGAGCTAGTAATTGATCTCGTTTTATTCAAGTATCGTTACCATCGTTTCAGTAATGACTAAGAAGATGATTGTTATTCCGACCCTAGTGGTCATATCAAATTGAGTCCAACTACGTTGAGTATGTTATGTGGTTTAGAGAATCAAGTTCGATGTAGCATCTAACTTAAGACGGAAGATTGAAATAAAAAGCGATCACTAGAGGTATCGCGAATAAAAATACATTTCTTCGGAAATGCTTTGATAACGTATTTATCATGTTTTTTTTTCTGGGAACAAATTCCGCAACATTTTTATTAAAAGAAGTACTCTGATTTTTATAAAGCATAAACAAAATCGGTCTTTTCTGACCGTAAAAATGGGGATGTCACACAAGGGGTTGAGCATATTTAATCAGAAATAGACGAAAAGTGGGCAAATATGAATTTGAGATGAATGATTTTTACATAGCATATCAGGCGGCTTCTAGAATATGTAGCTTCATTGTTGCTATCAAGTTTAGCTTCTTGGTGAATTTTGATGGCATCATCTACAGGTTGCTTCGGCTCCATTAATGTTTGAATCTAATTGTTATTATGGTCTTCGGTAATTTGTTCATTTAGATTCAACTTGAGATTATGTAGCATGTACATTAAGATTCTCACACAAACACGTACCCGACTCCGATTTTTTGAAAGAACAATCGAGGATGGAAACTAATAGATGATGTCTTACCTATGATGGTAGGTGTAGGCAGGTATTAAATGCAGTCAGTGAGAAGCTATTATGCATAGGGAGACGATGAGAGAGAAAGAAACATATAGAACAGCTCATTGGAAATGGCAGATACAGAGGAGGTGGTGCAGCTGGAGATGGTGAGGGAGGAAGAAACATATAGAACAGCTCACTGGAAATAACAAATGCAGGGAGGAGGTAGGGCTGCCGGAGACCGATAGAGAAATCGGTTGATGGAGGAAGAAGGTGAAAGATAGATATGCATGAGAAACGTGAGGGAAGTTAAGAGTTAATAATTTCCTTTTTTTTAGTTTTTTAATTAAACCTACAATTAATAAAATAAATATTTTCTAAACTACCATTAATGGGTAAATATTTTTTTTCAGTCACAAGGCTTTAGTAAAAAACTCCCACATTCAACTACAAATTAATCTGCCTCACATATAATAAGGAAGGTACTCTTTATATACTATTAGATTTCAAATATCATGGAAAGAGAAGAGGATGTTAGATCAATAACTATCAGTTCAGGTTTACATAATATTTCTTTTTTCTTTTGAATTAAATTACTAATGATTAAAACTTATTCAGTATGTCTGAGGCAACAAACAACTTAGCTTTAAGTACATACAAAGTTCAGAGTAAAACTTAGGGATAATGACTTGATAGGGTAAGTTACTTTTTGAAATGTATACATTTAGTCCTTATTCTTTTTTTGTAAATTAAACCCTTATACTTTATTAATATGTACACATTAGGTCCTTTTGACCGGATTCTATAGGTTTTGCTGATGTGGAAGCACACGTGGCACTAAAAACACATAACAATTAATTAGCTTGGTCACTCCTTATAAATGAATGTTAACATCCAAAACCATGAGGAATCACGGTTTTGTCGTAGAAGAAGAAAGAAGATGTCGAGTGGCTCAAGAAATCTCCACAGGTTCAAGCAATCACAGAGTAGATAAGGAAGTCCGCTGTGATTGTAAACTCCCTACAAGAATTCGTACCTCCAAGACCAAAGATAACCCTGGAAAGAAATTCCGAGTGTGCCCTAACTCATTGGTAAATACCTAAATTGGTTTTATTGTCAAATCGCATCAATTTTCTTCTTCTTACCTTCTATGTTGTTGATTTTATTACTACACAAACCAGGGAAAAAGTGTAAAGTTTGGGAATGGATTGATGAAGAACCTGAGAATATGAAGCCCATTGCAGAAGATACTCTTTCAGATGTTGCAGATTATCTTATACAAGTTTTAGAGGATGTGGCATCTGTTAGAGAAGAAGTGAAACAGTTGAAGGTTATGGTTTGTGTACTGATTCTGCTGGTCATTGTTAAGGTTATGTTTTGGGGTTGAAGATATGTTTATGGAGGTTTTAGGGGATGTTGATATAATAGACTTGTTGTGTAATTCTTGTTTATGTAATGGATGTTGATGTACTTTATGTTTATGTAATGGTAAAGGTTATTGCTATTATGTATGGATGTTGATGTAATTAAGTCAGTCAAATGGAGGTAAAACCAGACAAATTACAGGAAATATTCTTTTATAGACAACTGGATGTAAAGACAAATAAAAGTGGCTGACAAAAGGCATCAAGCCATTTAATAATTACAAAAGATAAGCCCACCAGTAGGGGTAATACAGTAATTTAGTTCAAAATATTCGACAAGTACATCAAAAGTAAACAACTAGTAAGGGTAATATAGTAATTTAGTTCAAAAGATTACCCCACACTACATCAAAATATATATCACATGCATTACCCCACTACACCAAAACCTAATTACTCTAAGGTCACAGGTTTGTCTTGGCTGCATCCAGTTCCATCCTTGACTTTAACATTTTTCTGAAGACCAATTTCTATGATTCTTTCTGAAAACTTTCTCACCCTACCAGCATCATTTAAAGGAACCTTCTTCATAGGACTTCTCTTCACAGGAGCCTTCTTCACAGGAGTTCTCTTGACATGAGCTTTCTTCATAGGAACTTCATTTACAGCAGGAGTAGGAGTGCTTGGAGCTAGAGTTGATTGACTTGGACCTGCTGTGCTTGGAGCTGGAGTTGATTAACTTGGATAGATAGGTCGTATTGCATACCTAATCGAGGCTTCATCTCATTCCATTTCTGAGTATGATCATGTCTTGGGTAGATAGGTCGTATTGCATTATGATCTTCTTCAACCAAGTCATCATTTTGTATTGGACAAAGTTTGTTGAGGAATTGATCATTGAAGTTTCTTTTGAGAGATATAACTTCATCGTCCTCTACATGTTCAGCTTTCAGACCTTCTTCTAAAATGGAGTCAACATCATCAATAGAAACCAAATCATCATCTTCAATGTCTGCTTCTTCCTCCTGAATCCAATCAAAGAAAGGTTCATGATGATGATCCACATACACATCCAATCTCTTCTTTTCATTGATATTTTCAAGAAACTCGTTAAAATCACAGTCATTCTGAATAACATGTAATCCCTCAGCCAACCTCACTTCATGTGGACAGTAATACACATCTCTGCATCTTCCGTTAGTAAGCTTTTCAAGAAAGGGGATGAAATTAGGGAAGTTCATCTTGTTCACAACCGTGTATGGTACAGAGGCTTTTACTTCATCAAAATACATCAATGAGGTAGGTGTGAACACCCCATTATAGTGTACATCAACGATTGTATATGCATCTTCTGCCATTGTTGATGGTGATTGTGAGTCAAGAAGTTTGAGGGAGTATAGGCTGAGTGAATGGAGGAATGGTTGATTAAGTGAGCCCTAATTGTCAAAATGTGGTGTAATTTAACAATATCCACGTAAGGTGACATGTGGATGCCACATGGTTATTTCAAAGAAAATAAAAGAAAATTCGTATATGACCGTTATACCGGGTATAGCCGATCAAAAGGATTGCATAATTACAAAAAATCTGGTATAAGGGTTTAATTTACAAAAAACAAAAAAAAAAAAAAAAAAAAAAAAAAAAAAAAAAAAAAAAAAAAAAAAAAAATCTAAATATGTACATTTTAAAAAGTATCTTACCCTATCAACTCATTTTCCCTAAAACTTATTTAGTTAGTTTAAGATGACAAACAACTTAACTTTAACAAAATACAAAGTTCAGTTTCAAGTGAAAATGACAAACTAGTGTAATCTAAAACTCATTTTTGAATCAGTCCACTACATTTATCAAAAGCTAACGTTATTCTGTTAAGTTCTGAATCCTAATGTCATCATCAAACCTATACAAAGTAATGTTTAACTAACATACACAAATACAAGTCCTCTTTCACTAAAACCATTTTTAAAAGTAACATAACCTGTTTCATTTTCATATTACTTTCAAATATTTTAATATTTTAAAAAAAAAATAGTAAGTACTTATTAATTATTTACATAAGACAAGTTAAAACTTGCATGTGGGATGTTCATTCACAATTCACACCATCCTCTTTCCTTCTGATAATGCATGCATACATATTTTCCTAATTACAAAATACTTGAAATCTTTTCTGTCATCCTTTCTAAATATCTATCATTCGATCAAGTATTTATTTTTATTTTTTTTTTTTAGTTGCAGATGGATTATGGAAAAAGGAAATGGCTCAAAAACAAACGGCATTGCCTTGCATTGAAAAGCCAAAAATGCAAAGGTCTTTTGTTTTGAGTTGAGACTGACTCTACATATATCTACACATAACATGAAAGCAACACCATAAAACCCATTTTACAACCCTCATTATAACTCCCACAACACAAAAGTATTTGTTAGTCAAACAATATCTCTCCCTTTTTGTTACTGCACTTAGAGAGATAATGCAACCTAAATCATTTGCATACCGTCTTCAACTTCTTTGCTGCCTGTGCAAACCCTACAATCACCTGCAACTCATCCAGTGTCTTCACACAACACCACAAATCTCTGTTAGTTATTTCGACCCAACAGGACTGGACTGGACAGGACAGAGCAAGCCTTTCTAGGACTATTTTATTTTTATATGATGAGGTTGAGAAGGGCATTCACGTCTTTTTCACAAACGAGATATCGAGAATTAATCCATGCCCTAACTTAGTCCACTTTTTTGGATGGTTGATCTCATAAAAATCCTTATATTTTGTGTTTTTTCCGAATTAAACCTCAAATTTATTTTTTGCCTGAAAAAGACCTTGTATTTTTTTCTTTTTTTCCGCTCATTTTCTTTTTCAAAAAAGGTCAACTTCAAAAAAGACCTTATATTTTTTGTTTTTTCCAGATTAAACCTTGAATTTTTTTCATTTTTTCCGAAAAAACCCTCAAGTTTGTATTTTTTTTTCCAAAAAAAAACCTTCAACCTTCTAAATGCTTCATATAAACCCTCAACTTTTTTAGTTTTTCTTAAAAAAAAACACTCACATTTTACAATTTTTTTTTAGAAAAAAAAATGACTAAAAGGGCCAATCGGAAAAAATGAAAAAATACAAGGTGTTTTTCAGGCAAATAAATAATTTGAGGTTTAATCCGGAAAAAACACAAAATATAAGGTCTTTTTTTAGATTAACCTTTTCAAAAAAATTGTAAAATGTGAGGGTTTTTTCGAGAAAAACTAAAAAGGTTGAGGATTTATTTGGAAGCATTTAGAAGGTTGAGGGTTTTTTTCGGAAAAAAATACAAAGTTGAGGGCTTTTCGAAAAAAAATACAAAGTCTTTTTCACGCAAAAAATAAAGTTGATGTTTAATCCGGAAAAAACACAAAATACAAGGTCTTTTATGAGATTAACTCTTTTTTGGATGGGACAAAATTTAAAAAGTTGTCTCAATTCCAGACTAGTGCACGTCAAACGCAGTAATAGCCTGTCATGTCATGTCTTTGTTTTGTCGGGTACTACATAACAAATTGGGCCTAATATCTGTGACATGAAATCAAAAAGCTAGAAAATACCTGGGACATGAAATGCCTTTGAACAATGTCAACAAGTTGCTCCTTCGACGGATTCGGGATAGCACCCGCCTGAAATTTACACAAATATCAAAATTCATCATCATACATATATATACATATTCATATATTTAATCTGCAAAAAAGTTATTCTTTCAGCAACCCCTGAATTGGCTATACAATGGTCCCACAAGGAGCCTCAATCCAAATTGGAACTGAGGGTCCCACACTCTAATTTCATATATTAATTGCACTCACAAGCTTAAAGTGTCGCCAAATATCTCCGCAAGGCAGCCATCTCTAGTTTGCTAAGATCAACCTTCTGAAAAAAAAACGTTACAAAACAAATAGTTACTTTTACAGCAACCTGTGAGCTGGCTCACACAGTCCAATGTACACACATCCTGGTATCCAAAAGAAGCCCAATTCACATTGGAACTGAAACTCTTACACAGTTGAACTTTTGACCATTGATGGTAAAGTTGACTTACCACGGACCCACGGGAAGTTGTAAAGGAGGTTTTGGAGTGTGAGTCACAAGATAGAGACCGGCTAACAGTCTTATGTGACGACCCGGATGATTTATGAGGGCGGTTTCTTGATCGATGCGACTTTTGGGTTTCATCAGATGCTGAAAACATGGATTAAACACAACACAATTATTTTTTTCTGGAGGTGGGCCCACATGGACAACCTTAAAGGAATGCATAATAGAGTTTATAGCAAGGAGTAAAATAGCTAAAAGTACAACCATGTGCCTAAGGTATCCAATGTAAAAAAAAAAAAAAAGATTCAAACCCATCAATAAAAAAAGACACTTTTGACATTGGAAATTTACGAAATTGACAATTTTGCCCTTTTGGGTTCAAGATTTGGAAGCTACCCAGATCAGAGCTGTTCCAATGTCCATTTTCGAATTCAAGATCATCGTCTTCTTCGTTACCAGTTGGAGCTTCAAGCACACTTAGAGCGTTTCTCTGCAGTTTCACCTCTATTCCATTCGTGAGAACCTAAGATAATACGAACGATAAAATTTCAGGATTTTGGGGAGAATTTGATCTTCATAGCTAGATTAAAAGCTTGTTTTTTTGTAATCGAGATTTGTAATAATTTGGATAAAGTATTATCCGTATTCATCTTTAGGATAGAAGATGCAGAAATGAAAGCGAATGTTCATAGAACTCAATAATGGAGAACAAAAAACCCTAATTTTTTTAAATTTAAGTATTCAGATAAATCCAGGAAAATCAGAAGATGGATCACAAGAAGACGACCAAAATGACATTAAAAGTCAATGATGGAATTAATCAATGTTGAATAAATAATTAATAGAACCCGAATTGAAAATTGCCAAGAAATCTTTAGATCCATTGACTCGAAACCCTCTTTTAATTAAATAATCCATTTAAACCCAAAAATTTCAAATCAATGATCCCAGCTTCAAATTAGATAAACACAAAATTCAAAACAACGAAAACCCAATTGAATCGCATTACGAAACTACATTCAAAATCACTGTATTCGATTTCAATCGTATCAATAAAAATTAAAAATTACCAGCCAATGCCAGCCTCCGAGACCAACAGCCTTCTTCACAACACCTTGTAGCCCAACAAGAACAGACTTCGTACGGTTGTTTCCGGTGACCACCACTTTAGTATGGCGGGGCAGTACGGACAACTCTTCCTCACTGCTATCGCCACCACCACCACCACCGCCACAGCTCTGGAATTGAGCAGGAGTAGAAAACCCACAAGCACCACCATTATTCACATAACTCTCCTCCATTGCTGCTTTTTTTTCTTACAGCATTATCCGTGCAGAAGATACAAAAAATCCAAAGCAACAGTAAAATCAGAACGATTACCAATCAAAATTATATGTAACGGAAAGATCAAGCAGTGAGGAATTGGAAATTGATGACATCTGGAGGGTGTAAGCAAGAAAATAATGACAAATTTGGGGTTTTTCAGGGAGTGAGAAAACACATGAGCGAGAGAGGTGAGAGTGACACACAGTACGTGTGTGTGTATGTGTGGGTTCTCGTTTTTTTCTTTTGCTTTGGTGGTGATCTGAATCCCGACGAGATGGACTAGACGAATGAGAGAAGGCCACGTACGAAGAGAGATGGTTGATTTCCGGTGGCGTGATGCAATAATGCAATACTGCTTCGCGGTTTTATTGTTTGTGTTAATATCAACTTTTGACTCTTTGACTCCTGTTTGTTTAAAAGCAACGAAGTGGGGTCATTGTTTAATTACAATAATGTCCTTTACCATAAACCCATTAAAATCAATAAATTATAAACTTGGTCTCTACATTTTTAATCAAAAAATAAAAGGTCGGCTCAACTATTTATATTGTCCTAAATCTTGTTGTTATATTGGATATGGTTTTTGTCTTCATATAGAATGATTTTCAAATTTTAAATAAAATATAAAGATCATATAATTACGACGATATTCTGACAATTCGAATTTTTGGACTAAAGTTATAATTATTTATAAAATATATGGATCAAATTTTGTAATTTACTCTATATTTTTAAATAATTGATCATCTATCTACATTTTCATAGTAGTTTAATTACAGCAAGAGTCAAAGTTTTATTTATTATGTTAACATAAATAATCAAAATTGAGACAATAAACCGACTGAAAAGAACTTATATATTTCCTTTTTGAGAGAAAAAGTGATGCGTTCAGGCTTTTCCAAAAGGAAAATGGCAGTTTGGTAAATTAAGGATTAAATGAGGGTTAGGGGGAACAGTGAACCGCAACACCAACATTTCAAAACGTGGGTCCCATGTCGGCGTGCGACTGTCTCCGTATTAACATTATAGTACTTTTCATTTATGTTAATTGCAAATGAGCCCCTTTATTTAAGTTTAATTTCACTTTAAATCTCACAGACTTTGCTGATATCGGTTTAATGTCACTTCAAATCTAGAGTTTTTAGGCCGGAGAGAGTGGTGTCACCGTAGCCGCACTTCCTTCACCGTCACATAAGTATCACGTCATTTTTTGCCACACTAATGTGGTTTCTTGTCACACCAAGGGAGTGGTACCACACTTTTATTTTCTTTTCTTTTTTTTGTTTTTTTTTAACTATTTTAATTTAATAAAACTTCTTTTTTAGCAAAAAAAAAAACATAATTTTAAAAATATAATATATCATTAATTAAAAATACAAATACTATACATTGCTTAACTTTAAAAAAAAAAAAAAAAAAAAAACCTAAAAATTTAGAAAAGCAAATTAAAAACATAAAACCTACAACTTATTAAAAAAAACATCAAACGATTAAAAACTTAAAAAAAAAAAAAAAAAACTAGAAATTAGTCACGATTTACGTAACGTTTTTTCACTTCCTCCTTCATCGCCAAAATAACTTGAAGTTCGTCCTCGGTCATATTCGACGTGTCCATCGCTAGTATTCGCATTTCGCTGTCCCTTTGTTTCCGAAGCTCTCTTTCAGAAGCAATTTGCAAAATCTTGTCCATTCTATCTTTTATACCCTTCATGTCGGGCCTCATTTCTTTCAACTCATCTGAATCCGACGTTTTGCCTTTGCCTTTGCTTTTTGCTTTGTCTCTTCCCATTGGTCGGGAAGGTGGTGAAACTGGAACAGGTTCATCTTCGTTCAGATCAAATTGAACACGAGCATCTGATGTAGTGTGGTCGGACTCAGATGTTCTGCTGCATTTTGAACCACTGTCGATATGCTCGTCTGATGTTTTGCTACTTTGCCATTTCTTGTTATCTTTCACAAAATTCCAAACTTCAAGAAACTTGAAAGCCTTCAAATTTTCTTTTTGATACACTTTCAACGCTTTCTTCAAAATCACTTCATCGCTTTCTCCACTTTTCCATTGACGTTACATGTTGTTATACAAATCATTAAACAACATGATTTCCTTGTTCATCTTCCCCCATTTGGAGTACACTTGATGTTTTGAACGGTATTCTCCATGGTTCATTCCTCTATGGAACCTATGTAAAACGCGAATCCAAAAACGGTCATGCTTTTGGTCTTTTCCAACCGTCGCATCTTCTGAAATATCGATCCAAGATTGTGCCAACACTAACACTTCCAGGGGTTCCCAACATTTAGCCTCCACCTTTTCTTTTCTATTAGTTGCTACTCGAGTGGGCTGAGTTTCTGTAACGAATTCCGGTTCGGAATCTGAAACGACCGTTTCTGGTTGTGTTTGTGTTTGTTGAACAAACTCGGGTTGAGACAAAAAATCAAATGGATTAAAATTTGTGTCGGGTTGTGGTAGTGGTCGTGTTTGTGGTAGTGGTTGTGCTGGTCGTTGTGGAAAATACGGAAGCATGCCGCCGTAGTGGTAATACGGAGGTGAAAAAATCGGTTGATCAAATGAAGGGATTGGGGTTGTGGTGTTTCTGACGGATGTTTTTTCTTTGCTGGACCTTTTGGAAGAAGACATTTTCAAAAAAATTGGAGGAAAAGAGAGTAAAATTTTAAGGATTTTGGTTGAAAGTTATGTAAAAAGGGTAAGTATATATATAAAGTAAAGTAAAAAAAAAATTAAATGAATTCAGTCAAATGACCGTTCAACGGTCAACAAGCACCATCCAATCACAGGACACGGTTCTTTCTAGCCGTAGTGCGGCCAAAACCGCACCCAGGGGGTGGTGTTTGCGGTCGACGTGGCAAGAACGCGGATCCAAACCGCACTCCACTCCGATGAGCCTTATTATATGTCCTTGTATAGTTGTATTGTCTATTTGTTTGATATAATCAAAATCGAAACAAGTGTTTTTTTAAATAATAATCATAAATATTTAAAACAAAAAATCGTTTTTCTTCGAATGTTTATTACGGAGCATACTAAAATGGATCAAACCTACTAGTGTAACTCGACGTTATATATATATATATATATATATATATATATATATATATATATATATATATATATATATATATATATATATATATACTAGCCATATACCCGCGCAAAGCTGCGGTGAGAAATAGCTTCATTGGGCAATTAGTTTCTTTCGTTGATTAGTTCTCGAAAACATGTTATATTTCAAATCGGTTTTACGCAACAAATTGTTTCCTTTCCCGAATAGTTTTGCGAGTGTATTTGTTTCAAAGATTACTTTTTATATGGAAACAATGCATCTCCCAAATAACATGAAATGCAGACGACAAAAAAAGAATAGTTGACTTAATATATTAAGCTCGTTTCTATTTGAAATTTTTATTGAAATTATTTTATCACCAACCGGATTTGAGCAAAAATGAAAACTTGAACCAGAACAACACTAACCACTCAGCAAAGAACAACAGAGTACTAAATTTGGCTATATACTTTTTGGATACCCTTATTGTAGCATTTGCAATAACCAGTAGAATAGTTGTTGTTTCCTCAAGGAATTAAAACATCATGTAGGAATCAAGTGTTGACAAAATATGAAACAAAATAACTGATGTCTCTTAAAATGCAAAGTTTCATAGTGTTTCATGTTTCACAATAGGTTGTGTGCAAAGAAATTAATTACATTACTTCTCAATTCTTCACTTCCTTATCTAATTACTTTGAAGATCGCAAGATCTTCAATGAAAATTACAAGTTAATCTCCTTGGAACTAATGGGCCATTATGGGCGGGCCTACCTTACCCACCATGCTCATCTGATTTGGTAGTGACACAAATGATCATGCACACGTTTCCGTCAATCCAACGTGGCATTTCACAATTATCATTACATGGAATATTAGTTAATGATAATAAACAATATAGAAACGATTATTGCATGTCATAAACATTTAAATCATCTTATAGTGCATTTGATAAACAACAATTCATCAACATTTTAAGTTTTGACCAAAATACCGCTTCCATCTAAAAAGGTCAAGAACCATATTTTTCTATTTTGACTAAAGTTCCCATTCTGACGCAAACAAACCCTAAATCAAATTTTTAAAAAAACTAATACGTTAGTATTATATGTAGGGTATTTTGTTGATCTTCACCTCACCAGTGAAACAATGGAATCCTCACTAAAACCCCTAAAAACTAACAATACTATGAAAAAATTTAAAAAATATGAATATTAATTAGAAAATAAACTCATTGTGACACACCAGAGACGTTTGGGGATGGGAACAAATTGAACTTATATTTGGGACTTCGTTTTCCTTAAACTGCCTTTGAAACCCGAGTTGAATAATGCAACTTGCATTATTGTCTTGTAAACATCTAGGAATTCATCATTTAAAAGAATTCCATTTTCCTGAAAAATCACAAAAAACTAAATTTGTTATCTTCATACTTAAAAAAAAAGCATGGAAATGAGGTGAAGATTCACACTTTTCCTTTGGTCTTTAATGTTAGCTTTGAAAACATAAACAAATCTTATAAATTATAAAATATGAACTAAAAGGGGAAAGAATATTATGACCAAATACCTGTCGTGGGGGAAGGCATAAGCACAGGCGGAAATATTAAATGTGACTCCAATACTCCATATGAAAAACGAAATGTGATTGTAACTCCAATATTCCATATGGAAAACTGAATTTGTGGAATTGTTCTCAGTGGAACCTGTGATCCAATTATTGGTTGAGATTACGAAGATATATTGAACACAGATATCATCAGAACCAAACAGATAATGACTTGTTTAATGGTAGGGATGAGTAGGTAATTTCACTTTTATTACAGCAACTCCTTACCTCATCAAACACCTGATCTGCAACCAATAATTAAATTTGATTATTGGTCTAAGAACCTGCAACAATTAGCTTTGATTATCAGTCTAAGAACCAGCAACGACAAACATGATTAAAGCTATTAAGATTCAGCTTTTCATTTTCTTTTTTCTTTTTTCTTATATAAGATTTCAAATGAAAAATAAAGGTTCTTATAGAGGAAGACAAAAACAAGAGAGCAAAATCCATAAGAAAAATGGAAAACTTCACAAACAAACAACAATTAGAACATACCTTCGACAAGTTCAGCCAAAAACCTAAAATCAAAGCAATCTAAAACAAATTCAAGATTCAAATAAAAACCCCCATCGTTCATTAAAAACACTAAAAAAATATCCTTCAAACAAACAAGTTTTCAAATTAGAAACAGGAAAAATGTGTCATATATTTCACCTGATCTGTTCATAGTGTCGCCGTTTCTTTGTTTCC